TTCTTAAATGAAAATGACGTGAACTGCGGAAATACAAATTTAAATAGCATGGCCGGGAAACCAGTGGTAGCGTCGCCAAATGTCGGCTGTTTTCTCAGACTAAAATTCAATGAAGATCTCTTCATTAAAATTTGTATTTCCGTAGTTCACATCAACTTTATTTAATGTTTCATTCCATTCACAGGTTAAGATCAACTTAACTCAACTCTCGCTTTGCACTATTACTAAAAATAGGTTTTGTCACCTTGGACCTTCCGCGTGACTCAGACAAACCTTGCACTTAGACTACGAGTAGTCCCCATTTTTCCTCAGTGATAGCATAACGAGCGAAACGCGAGCGGGCGTGAAAATCACCCCTCTCTTCACGCCGCGTCTCGCCTTTCTCGCGTGGGGTGGTTTTCATGCGCGCTCGCGTGTCACCCGCTCTACTATCCCTGAGGAAAATGGAGACTACTCGTAGTCTACATTCTACTCAAAGCCTTTGTTTGAGCAACATGCATTTCCGACATGAAATCGTTCATAAAATTCGCAATGAATTTTTTAAAATCTTTTTTGCGCTTTATTCTAATATATAAAAGACATTACTGCTAAATGAACTGTTAAAATCAGAAAATAAGGCGACCTGATCAAAGAAGGCTACCGGAAATCGGATCCCTAGCTCTGTCTCAGTCAGATAGCACTCTATGTACTGAAACATGACATAACATTTCTGGCTGTGTAATACTCCAAAACCGAAATTGTTAAAGAGAAAATCGAGTTTGTACGTGTTTCTCGCAAGCCTGTTGCAGAATTTTTCTAAGCTGAAAATTATTGTGTGGCTAGGTAGGTACCATACAGTACTTTATATCGGCTGCATAGTACTAAGTAGCTTAATATAAGCAACCTTTGAGCAGCCTTTGCCTATAAATTTAACCAAATGCACCGTTTTATGAACATCTTTGAAGCCCTAAACTCCATACATCTATTAGTAAAATGCCGTAACAAATTTTTACCTACAGTAATGACACCGCATAAGAAATCCAGGAAGAATTAAAATCACTCATTTGTACAGTTTTTTTTCCATGTTTAACGTTGTCTTAGCACACCTTGATTATTTTCAGGACATATGTTATCGAAACCAAGCTGGATTTTACTTCTTTTGACGATAATATTCTTTAAAGAGTACGAAAAATTGTTGGAGAACGTGTCTTTCCAATACAAATCTGATACTGATCAGGTTCATTGTCCAAGTCATAACAGGGACCAGATTTTTCTGACGTCATTAGTCCAAAGCGCTACCGGCCTGCTCCCAATGTATGGGTCTTCATAGCTCAGTTGTTAGAGCACTGCAGGGCTAATGCAGAGGCGACACTGAGAGGCCATGGGTTCGAATTCCGTGCAAGTCGCGAATTGTTTACGGGTTAATTTGCAATTACCACTGCGACGATCAAATCTATACGTTTCTGTTGCAATAATCTCATGTAGTCAAGTTGTGTCACGCAAGAAATCCATGATTCCGAAGTTCTCCTATTCAATGTTACAATGCGTTGAACGTTTGAACTGCTGACATATTTACCTTTTTACAAAACAGGGTTTTCTACGATCAACTTCTCATTTTTTTTTTTTTTTACCATACCAAAGCCATACTCGATGGCGGTACGTAAGACATGCCGTCTACGCGGAGAGCATACCGAAGAAAGAATTTTTATTTTTTAAAAAAAAATGTATTCATTACCTTTACCCCGTTTTGAAAAAATGCTTGTAGGTAAAGCTGTCACTAATCTATCGTTACTTGAAAATTAACCATTCAGAGTATTACTGACATTACTACGACGGTAGTTTATACGGACGAGTGCCAGTCACGTGACCTCTCGACATGGAAACGAGGCTGGTAGAAGTCAGTAAGATTTATAGAACAAGTCCATAATTGTCACAAGTTCGGAATTCTTGCAATTTCTCCTTCATCCCTGCCCTCGAATATCCTTATTCGCTTGTATCCAACAACACCAATTCAAGAACCAGGCATCTGATCAAGAAACAAGAATGAGCAGTCCGAAGACTACAGCAAAGCTGATCTAAAACAACGTGTATTGTTTTTTATAACAATATTTCGGCTGGCCATACCAGCCTTCTTCAGGTTTACAGATGTTACTGAACTTATGTAGCAATCACAATATTATAAAGATCGAGAATTTCTGATCAAGAACCCGCAACCAAAACTAAATCTACAGCAGTTCTGCCCAACACTAAAAGGTTATCTGAACCTGTTCGTCTTTTCCTACAACATCATGGTCATCATGGCATACGTCTGTTTTACGTGCCGTGTTTTGATGTAATAATGATCGCCTTTTTCCCGAGAAAAATACAGTGAAAGTCCATATTTCTAATACTAAACTAGAAAAAGGCGATCATTATTACATCAAAAGACGGCACAAGGATCTTTTTTCCCATTACAATCTTATTCTAAGAAAACTTTAAGAAAAAATGTCCCGAAAAGCGCTCGAAAATACAAACGAAATTCGCTCATGCCCCCTGGGCATCCTATAATACTCCTTAAATCGAATTAATTCAATATGGCCGCCGTATCTTTTAATCATAATTCCACTTTTTTGTCAACCAGGTAACCTAGCAACAAGACGCTTTGATGGACCCTTTACTAGAAAACTGGTGATAAAATTGTCATAATGAAAGTTAAAGTTTTTAAAAGTTTGATGAGACGCTTTCTGGTGCACATCTGGCCAAAATCCATACATGAAGAGGTTAGTTTCAAAGGGCTTTTGCAACTAACCTCTCATGTATGAGAAAACGGTGGATTTAACTTGACTGCAACACAAGGGAACTGAAAGCACATACCGACACTTTACAAAGCATTTCCCTCAAGCCAAGAGCCTTGGCATTCATTGACCTTTAATGTTAGCCTCTAAAATCTACTGCCTGCCGACTTGTACTTAAAAAGATATCAAATAAGACAAATCATTTTTTGAAGTTTTCTTTACTCAGCAATAACTATTTCCATTATAGCGTTGAAGAAATGTTTTTGTTCCAGTAAGCCGTAGAAGTAAGGAAACATGTGACAGTGAACATGGGGCCTTAATTATTGAGGCTGCATTAAAATATTATGAAATACAAAAATTGATGCCATTATTACATTCATTTTTAAAGTTCTCTTCCATTCACTAGAATAAAGCAAAAAACTAACTTGGACGCAAGTAAGTTAATAAGGATGATACTAACACAGAAATCATTCAGGATATAACCTCTAATTAAGGTGTTTCGATATAGTTTTTCAGAGGCCATACCGATATTTTTCAATCGCTTTAAAAGTGATTTTATCCTTGTCTGATAGGTATATAATTTTAACAAATGATTGACTATAGGTTGAAGTTTGTCAACATGTAGGGTTTAGTAAAATCGATATTACTATGACAACAATAAACAAAATCTTTGAAACTGATAAACGCCTAATTTTGCGCGATCTAGACCAGCTACTGAAAATCTAACACTAGGAACTTAAAGTTTGGTGTTAAGCAAATAACCTCCCTAAGAAATAAAAAATTCTGTATGTTTGAATTCGACTAAAACGAAAATATATTTCAAACCTTAAATTTTCAATAGCCGTGATAGATTATTTAATAAAAACGTTATAAATGACTCAGATTATTCCTAAGTAGCCTCATAATGCTGAGGAAAAAGCTCGGAAATTTTGGTGTATTTTCGTTCTTGCGATCTTAAAAATTAACCCGTTTTCTCACCACCTGTTGAAGTGCAGCTTTATTCAAAATTTGGAATTTCAGCACTTTTTTGTACATCTCTGAAACGACTAGAACGAATTTTTTAAAAATCTCTTCAAATAATCTTCGTAATGTATATAATAATGTCTGAAACTTTTATTAAGATCGATTCACTGCAACACCTTGAAATTTCAAGATCCTATCCTACCAACCGGTCAAAAATCCGCGCCGCAACATTCACTGTTTTGACGTTATGCTAATTTTTACAAATTAATGGGGACAATACATATATCCATGACTAGTACATTTCAGTGTGAGTATGGTACATAATATGGTCAATATTTTACATTCAAAAGATGCGTTAAATTTAAACTAAATTGTACTAGTCATGGAGGTATGTGTAGTGCGCATTATTTTGGAAAAATTAGCACAACGTCAAAACAGTGAATGTTGTAACGCAGATTTTTGACAGGTTCGTAGGATAGGTTTGTCTTGAAATTTTAAGATCTTGCATGCATTGCATCAATCTCAATGAAAGCTTCAGGCCTTATTAAAGACATTATGAAGATTATGTGAAGAGATTTTGAAAAAATTCGTTCGAGTCGTTTCAGAGATATGCAAAAAAGCACTGAAAGTCTAAATTTGAAGGAAGTTGCACTTAGACAGGTGGTGAGAAAACGGGTTAGTTTTCAAGATCGCAAGAACAAAAATAAACCAAAACTTCCTAGCATCAAAAGCCGATGATATTAAGCAGCGTTCTGATGCTACTTAAGAATAATTTGAATCGTTTATAACGTTTTTATTAAATAATCTATGGCGGCTATTGAAAATTTAAGGTTTGAAATATATTTTCGTTTTAGTCGAATTCAAACAGAATGTTTTACTTCCTACGGAAATTGTTTGCTAAACCCCAAACTTTAAGTCCCTAGTGTTGGATTTTCAGTAGCTGGTTTAGGTCACACAAAATTCGACTTTTATCAATTTCAAAGTTTTTTGTTTATTGTTGTCAAAGTAATATCGATTTTAGTTAAAACTACATTTTCACACATTTCAATCCATAGCCAATTACTGGTGAAAATTTTATAGCGATGGCCTCTGAAAAACTGTATCGAAATACCTCAACTCTGGGAAAAAAACACATCTTTGTGGCAATTTGCTATTCAGCGTCCAAAAATGAGATAAAAATGTTGCCTCTTTTCTGAATTTCTGTTTGTTGTAGGGCACCTATAGCCAACCATGTGACTATTCGTTTTCGTTATATGCTACTTTTATTTAAGTATATTTGTTCTTTTATTTCCTGCTAAGAATTTGTACAAGGCTCATTTGGTGTTCTTTGGCGCGAAGACGAAGGGAAGCGATGCTTGATTCTCTGCTGCCATCCCTCACTATTCCGCCGTTAAGGTCTGGTACGCCCTCTATTCCACGCGTCACCTCGTCAATGCGATAGGGAGGTGCTAAAAAGCATGGGCCGCCTGCTGACATGCCACAGGAACAAGCACATTCCCGAGATTCGGAACACGGAGGACGAACAATGCTAGGAACTGTGGAGCGAAAGCATGAAATGGATTGTGGCGACGCCGGGTAAAACTGCGAGCAAATATCCCTGGAAATGTTATTCACTATACCAGCAGTGAACGGCTGCATCGGGTAAGGTGTGTTAGTCTGGTGTAGCCAAGGAAAGACAAGACCATGTCCCGGCGGAACTGCACCAAACGTACACAGCTTTTCTCTCTTTCGCCACTTCGCGCGTCTGTTCTGAAACCAAACCTGTCAAACGAAACAAACGATTAGTTCATCCTTTGTAGATTAGAAATTATCTGTTTACAGTGTAACATCCAAATTTTAAAAGATGCAATGGGGTTTCTTCGTGCATTTAGTAAATACAAAATTGTAAATGTGCCTTTTTTCAAGTATAAATGATAAAAAATTCTTCCTAGCGTTCGTTAATTTCTTTCGGCCATTGTCTGAGAGGCATCACTGCCGTTTCTCAGATTCCAACGTTAAATTAAATGTCTGAATTTCAATTGAAGTCCGACAAATCACAATGAGATGCCTTTATTACAAACGCAATTTATTTCGTGGATTTATGGATCTTTAATTGTCAAATAAACTGCTTTTAGACACGCACCAATTTTTTTATAACTACATGAGGTCAGACGATTGATTAGTTGATCAGTCTATCTTTCTTTTACCTCAGATATCATAATTCTTCAGAGATTTCGGATTCCATCATTAAGAAAACTACCTTAAATAATGAAGGACAACAATTGAGCTTGTTTTATAGGCTTCATTAGAATTAGATTAAAGTTGCGAGAGAGTTGCAAAAAACACGCCACTTGCAAGTGCATGTCGCAGACATCAAACTGTTACTCAGCAGTGCTGAATGCGGCATTAAATTTTTAGCTAAACAGAGCACTTTATAGGAATTTTACGCCTTACGCCAGTGTTCAACCAGGTCTGGTAACTAAAGGCCTTCGAATCAGGTTATGAAGCGGCGCATACCTGAATTCGCGCTTCAGTCAAACCGAGCTTTGCCGCTAACTCTTCTCGTGCAAATACATCAGGATATGGGGCTTTATCAAATGCTCTTTCTAGTTCTTCAAGTTGGTATTGACTGAACGTTGTACGATAGCGGGTTTTCTTCTTTTTCGCTGCATTTAAGCCATCTTCAGGGGATAAATTCGCTTCCTCGTCTTTCAACACTTCAGCCTGGGATGTTTGCTCACCAGCTGCCACCTCAACGCCGTTTTTCTCTGAAACAGACAGAAATACGTTCTACAATATATCAAGAAAAAGAGGAAAAAACGTATTTACAGCTGTTACAAGTAAAGATTTAGCGTTCAAAATAATTTTTGTACATATAACATGCAGAATTTACGTTTTCTGAGCCAAAAGTAAAACATAGCATGAAGTAATTATAAATTTACCATGTTTTACCCATTTTCTCGTGTACTGACTTAAAAAGTCCTAAAGCGTAGTCAAATCAGTGGTCTGGTAAGCTGTGCAAAAGGAATTGTTTTTAAACTGACTAGTTATTACCAAACCACCTAGTTAACAACTTATATAAACTAACGTCTGAAAAACTAACCGGTGTTAAAATTCATTTCGGGCCACCCGTAATCTTGATTCCGGCAACTCAACACGATTTGGCTTAGCGATGCTCTGGCTTTGAACTGTTCAAAAACAGATGGAGGAAGGAGTTTTGTGCTTTCTCTTGGCGTGACGGGAAAACTCATAAACTTTTAAGAGATGTATTTCATAATTGGCTTTTAACCCAATGAAAACACATCAGCTTAGGGGTAAACAGATATCACTTCAATTTAGTATATTTTACTACTCTTCTTTGCCATATTGTCAACGCGATTTCGTTTGCGTGGTAATTTTGCTTTAATACTATGAGAAAAAAAATGAAAAGCAGCAATTTTATACATTCGCTTTGTTTTGTTGCACGACGAAAACAGCACAGCAAGCGGGGAATGAATTTCCTTAACTGCAGGATTTTTAGATTACGATTTGGCAAGCCGAGCACTTGAAAAATAACCTCGGTAAGGTTTTATTCAAATAGACCACTTTTGTATAGCAGCCAAAAGTAATAACTATTCTTTCATACAAATTGATGTAAATTGAATTGAATATTAGCAGTTATTAGAGGCCAGATGGTAACAGCTGCTTACTTAAGTGGTGACTAGCCTTAATAAAGTTTACAGCAAGCAGTTTTCTGCGCCGTGCATGAGATCAGGAAAGTTCTGGGTTTTTTTAGATGGGTCAATTCACTTTCACTTCTTTACTGCAATATTAAGAATAAAAAAAAGAAAAAAAGGTATCCGCATGTTTTTTAATAAATAACTATAATGGCTAGCTGGATACAGAGTACTGAGGATAGAGTTGTACAGTGCCGTTATCTGTAAAATCCACCAGTTCACAAAATTGTGTGAACAATAATTGCATTGGCTATTGCTGTTTGGCTACAGCCTTCTTTTGACTTCTATCTCTACCATACCTAACCTTACATAATTTCGCTACAATTTTACCACAAAGGAAAAGGGATCTTGACCAGCTGAGGTAAATGTTCTTCTTTTCCTTTAGAAGCATACTGGACTAGTAACTTTTCAGGAAATCATATCTGAAGTCAATAGTAGGCAATTCGGCTTGCAGACTAAATTGCTGATAAATCTTGAAAACTCTTAGCTGTCGGATATTTGAGATTCACGTGGTATTAAGTTGAGAGACAACGAAATTTGATTCTCCATGTTACCTGAACTTCAGTTCATGTTCATTTTTTCTGAACTGGAAGGAAGAATTAGAAAATTTCCGGCGAATTTTCTCCAACAGAAAATTCCAGGGTGGACTAACTTCTGTTAAGGCGGGTATTTTGTGTGAGGCGGTTTAGTTTGCGTTTGTTTATGATATGGTACAGAGAATCGATAGAAAACGAAAAGAAGCTATGCTGCATATAGAACGGAAACATCTCGTATTTCTGGCCAAACTATATACCGCAACCGCTAGCTTTCAGTAAGAAGAACTTTGAAGTCCTTTTCAAAACTTGTCTGCTTTTAAAGTGAACAAAGTGACGCCATACAAACTATAAGCTTCCCTCCAAAACAGTCTGACAGTTTTCAACAAATTACCTTCTACAGCTTCTTGATCCGTATTTTGATCGCAGCTTTGACTATTTATCGACTCGGTTTCAGTAACCAGTCCAAGAATGTCATTGATAGTATATGAATTGGATCGTCCGGTTCTTTCCGGCTTTGGGTGAAAGCTCTGATCGTTGTGTCTCGTCTCCATCCAGTTACGGTCCTTGTTACCAGTTTGGGTTTGTGCCTTCGTTTAACGAACGCGCTTTGAGTGTCCGGTCATAATGATAGAGTTAGTTTTACATGAGGTGGTAAACCCGCAGGGTGATTTTTCAAGCCTCACAGTGACCGACTGGCTAAATTAAATTGCTATTATTAGCAAAGAGATCCTTACTTGGCGGTTTTCTTTTGGCTGAAAATTGGCTTTTCACAACCAATCAAAGCATTTATCGCCGAACACAGTTATTGGCAAAACATTGATTCAAGCAAAATATAATTAGAATTTATTAACATTAATCCCTATCTAGATTAACATAACAATCCTATAGAACTCCAATAAAGACCTAATTATATCAACATTAAACTCTTTTTATGAGATACGAAGGTCACAATTTACAACAACAGTGCTGGAGGCAAAGACTTTTGTGTACAACGAACTTATAAACTTTCCCTCGCAGTTAATAGTACAGATTTCAAAACTTTTCGGCCTAGCTAGACTAAGTTGCCATGTTAGATTTATCGTTATTTGATGCAAAGCAAAGCAAACAAGAAAAAGGAGTAAGGAAAATTCGATATAATGAAATTTACACATTTTTGATGAAAAGTAATTGGTCGTAATTGCCGCCATCTTGCGAGTGTCATGGAAAAAAATCATTTTAATTAACACTGCCTTTCTTTGTCTGTCATCCCTATCAACAAATATTTTCAAAGTTATCAGGTTTTCTTAGAGTACATATGAATAACTGGTTGAGTTATCATTTCAGATTTAAGCGTGTTACCGTAAATTGCTCTAGCTTATCTAGTTGCGGCATCAGCCTGTTTTTGCCGTTCATAAAACTACTCAAAAATGTTTTACAGTGAACGAAAGCCAATGATATGAGGTAACGAAACGACGAAAGAAAACGGAGCATAAAAGCATTTTTGCCGCAGATCCGTGTGCAAATTAAACGATCAAAACATTTCAATCGCAAGTTTTAAGTGGAAACAAACAAACTCAATGTCCTCAATTTGTTCCTCGGCGGTTCAGAAAAAAAGAACTCATTTAAAGTTATTATTTTATTACTAACTATCCACACGAGAACCTCACAAGAAGAGAGGGTTAATCTTCCAACTAAAGACGAACTTTGAAATTTGCAATTTCGATATAACTCCTGAAGCAGTTTTCTTTAGCAAAGAAGGAAATTAAAACAAGGGTGGCTTAAAAGAGATTAATGCAATTAACGCTCTTTATCGAGCAGCTCGAACCGACTTCGTTAGCTTCCAGAAGAAACTGTCATTTGCAGGAAATTAAACCAACACGGACCAACAGAAATTTGTTTGGAATAAATACGGTTAGAATTTTACAAAAGTGCAGAAAACATTCCTTTGAAAAAAAGAAATATAGAAAAAATGTTGAAGGGACTAGCTTGCGTGTTTTCGACGGGACTATAGATGTTATTACGCCGGTATCATCACGACGGTTTAGCGTGTTTTGTCGAAACTTTCACCGACCTGTCAAACTCTATTGATATGTAATTAACCTCTTAATTAATATCATCTCCTAATTAGAAATGATTAGAAGAGGCGAGAAGCCGCTCGTGTTAATAAGATATTCCTTGAAGCAGTAGCAGGAAATTGTAAACAAACGATATTACATAGCCGCAGGACTTCACTCAAACCTTGGAAGGCGCGCGACCACAAGACAACAAACTTAGTGTTAGTAGGCAAACAACCTCAAGTGTATGAGCAACGAAGCTAAAGCTTAAATACCTCAATCGGCAAGTTTGAAGTGGACAGTTATTATTTTACAAACTAATAACTGTTGTCGCTAATTAGTCTGTCTAACTTGAGACAATTTAATTGTTGCAATTGAAAAACCCTTCTCAATCCCACCATACTTCAAGCATAACCGCTTTCGCTTTAGGTCATACCGGAGTTATGAAAAATTTAATCCAGTTAATAAGGGTTTTTTATTTCTTTCACTGTAGCAAACCGATCGTGACAAACAGTGGTTATCATTGTCGCTGTACTTTTCAGTTCATTCACTTGCATGTGGCTTTCTAAAGGAAACAATTTCAGGCGCTACTGAAAGGTACTGATCACTACTGAGCACTACATGTACTTCTTTCAAGTATGAAATCTATAATATATGCCATTTCGACAATCATTATGGGCTCTTTAATCTGTGATAGTAAATGTTTCTCTTGCCATTATTCTGGATAAAAAAGCAATTAAATAGCATGGTCTTATGAAAATTTTAGGTGCTCGATCATTAGTTATGTGAATGGAATGTGACAATGACAGGAAAAGACTAATGGTCATGCAGTGGACCAATTTGTCTTAAGTGCATTTTAAATATTTTGAATAACAGTTTGAATTTCGTCGGGTATTCTCACGTTCAAGAGGGAATGTTCATGATGAACATTTTATTTTCCTTGCTTTCATCAACTTCCAGATAAAAAAAGTCAAGCAAGGGTCATGAAAGGTCGACAAAGGTGATGCTCCTCTTTTAGCAGTGCAGTTGTACCTCTCCATGAGCAGAGCTCCTTGTTTAGTATCTCGTATGTTATTTTATCAAATACTTTTGTAATTATTTTTGACTCGATACCCAAGGTGCATATCTACAGCATATCTATACAGTTTTTTTCTCTCACTCTTCGATCCGAACATCCCAAGGTGCAACACAGTTGATTATTTATCAGCAGTTTTTAACTTGACTACCCTTTCCGGGAAATGTTCACACCATTTGCTTGCGTAGGTAAACCGTTTGATTAGACAATTCCCTATGTATAATTCTCACTTCTCTGTCATGTCACTGCTCAGCTCAATTTGAGCTAGTTTAAAACACTCGCAGAAAATCTGACGGACAGTCTCCTCCTTTGTCCCTCCCCTACACACGGCGGTGAGACATCTTGTTGGTCAATAAGAGTGTTGTTTCTAAGGGTTTGTTCTTGGGCAGCTTATCCCTCCGTTTCCTTTGAAACCAGTCCTAAGAAGATATATTCTTTCCTCTACTGTCTAATTTTCAAATAAAAGCTATCTTTTACCTTAGGTAAGATTTCTAAAATGCCACGGAAATAATTAGAAACCAATGAAATAAATGATATCATTAAGCAAACGATTATCTCGATTTATTATTTTCTTTTACATTTAGTTATCATTTCCTATTTATTTCAGCAGTTTTTAACTTGACTACCCTTTCCGGGAAATGTTCACACCACTTGCTTGCGTAGGTAAACCGTTTGATTAGACAATTCCCTATGTATAATTCTTACTTCTCTGTCATGTCGCTGCTCAGCTCAATTTGAGCTAGTTTAAAACACTCGCAGAAAATCTGACGGACAGTCTCCTCCTTTGTCCCTCCCCTACACATCATACACAGCGGTGAGACATCTTGTTGGTCAATAAGAGCGTTGGTTCTAAGGGTTTGTTCTTGGGCAGCTTATCCCTCCGTTTCCTTTGAAACCAGTCCTAAGAAGATATATTCTTTCCTCTACTGTCTAATTTTCAAATAAAAGCTATCTTTTACCTCAGGTAAGATTTCTAAAATGCCACGGAAATAATTAGAAACCAATGAAATAAATGATATCATTAAGCAAACGATTATCTCGATTTATTATTTTCTTTTACATTTAGTTATCATTTCCTATTTATTCTAACCAGATATGGCCTCAGTTTAATACCACATATTCGATAGTGGAAAACATTTCACCTCCTTAGCTTCGTCAAGAGCCATTATGGCTCTTGGCTTCGTAAATTCAGTTCATTATAAATTAAATATAGAGAATGAATGCTGATTTACTGGATGTCGCAGCATGTTCTTCATTTATTTTTGGACCGGCCATTTTTTGCTAAGTGGAGAGGGCATAAAATTATCACTCGGGGCTCTCAACCGCCGTTGACGACGTTATGGTATTCTGTATAATAAGTTTTTCTCATTTTACCGAACCATTTCTTTATTAGTAGTAGAAAAAATCCCCGAAGAGAGGATAGCTGAAATTTTAACGATTCTTAGACAGGCAAATGAATTTAGGAAAGGTTTTTCACGAAAGGGAAAAAAACGGAATTAAAAGGTTTGGGTTTGGTTGTCTACTCCTCGTCTGTTGCGTTTTTTGTGTGTGTTAAGAAGTCGTTAGCTTTCTTTCAGACAGTTTCCAGTCTGAAAAGATATATCGACTTTGTTTCGAAAAGTACACTGAAACAAAGCCGATATATCTTTTCAGACTGAAAACTGTCTGAAAGAAAAAAACGACTTGAAAAAGTTCCTCGTCTACCTAGAAGTAAATAAATATTGTACCTCAGGGTCTATATAAAAAATCTCTTATCACAATATCTGAGAATATCTGGATGTAAAATGCGTGTAACGTTTATCGGATAAATGGGATTTGCATCTCTACCGAGAGAAAAGATATCACTGCATCGAGAATGTTTAAAGTCATAATATGTCATATGAAATCCGCCTTTTTTAAAAGTAACTTATTATCTTATAGCATAAGGCTTTTCAGCAACAGATAAGAAAAGAATTAACGACAAACTAGTAATGGTCTTCCGAATTCGCACGGTGGATATCATGGGAAAGCAAAGACAAAAAAGAAGTAATTTTATCTGTTAAAAAAGTGGTGAGCAATTTCGGTAAGATTTTATATTCTAAATCATATCCGGGCTGTTGCTTTGTCGTGTTAATAGTTCTTAACTTCATAAACTCGTGACATGCCTTTTGTTATATGATAGTAAAAATCTTTTAGCTCATTTCGAGCTTAAATGCACCTTTCCTTTGTTTTGAACAGGTTGTTATTTTCTAAAAATGGAAGAGCAGGTCATTGAGGCAACTGTTTCACTTCAGTGGGCAAGTGGGCAATAATGACCTGCTGGTTCTAAATCGATGGAAAGGTGCATTAAATCGGATAGTGCCCTCGCTCCTCGGCCTTCTTGAAAATAATAACCTCGTGCTACGCGCTCGGTCATTACTCCTAAGAAGGCCTTTGAGCTCAGGCGTGATCCTTTATCTAGCATAGTACTTAAAATTAAAATGAGCGTCTCAAACAAATTTGATCTCATTTTTTGACAAAATACCCTAATTTAAAATCCATTACAGTAAGTAAACATTTCCTATATTATTCACAACCCAACTAAGTCATATTATCACAAAGAATTATTTGTTCTGCTTTCAATAAATTGACCGTGACTGGTAGTTAAATTTATGAAGCTGTAATTTTTCGCCTTTATAAACTTAAAATAAATTGATTTATCCGTTTGTGCAGTCTCGTAACTATCGTTAAAACTTTGTTAGTGATAATAATTTTAAACAAAACTACAGAAAGCAACGCTAATTGACCAATAACGAATGCAATATGGAACCATCTGCGTCTAAGTTATAAACCCGTCCAGACAATAAAACTCTTTTAGAAGATGCATTAGTTTCTTGTCATTAGTAGTCTATAGCTTACAACAACACTTGTCAAACACAGAGTTGATTGTAACGTGGTGTGATATTACTGATAAAAGTAAGTGTTCCAGAAGTCTCAGAGACTGAACGTCTATACCATTCCACCACATTTCCATAATGTTCGCTTGCACGGCGATAATAATGATATTTTATATTCTCGATACAGACTTACAATAAATGGTCATAACAACATTGTTGAGAATAGGTTCAGCGAATGCAAGTAACGGCTTTAAAAATTCACATAAACTTGGTTTCTGTCAAAAATAGACGCTCCACGGACACACGTTAAAAAGGTTCTCTTACCTGCTGAAATATAGGCTTTGTAACTCAGCGTTTCACGATTAAGGGTAATATTTTGGCTTTATGTGGTTGCCTGTTAATTTCTCTCCGTAGCGATTAACGGTGAATTTAGAAAAAAAAGTTAAGTAAAAATAAATAAGCACTTCCACTTACAGAATTACCTCTACGTTCTAAGCCAATACGAAGGCAGGTTGTAAGGACATTGTCATATGATAATTCAACTTATAACAAAGGGCAAACTTTCTCAATTCTGATCTGCTAATAAAGACGGCATTTATTTTCTTAAGGCGGCTAGACTGGATTTTTTAGGGAGTATACTTCCCCAATTTGAGCGTTTACTACGTCGGCATCATCAAAATGCCGCGTTTGCCTAGCTTGGCTCATAAAGCGTCTCTTATGCAGGCTAACATGCCTTTCCTTTGAATATAATATACAATGCCTTCTCTTAGTTCCGTACTTATTTCCCCAACACCATCGAATGAAACATTCGACATCCCAAGGAACCAATCAACAAAACATCTGGATGTTTTGGTATAAGCAGCGCTATCAAAGGGATGGCACTCTGGTCCACAGGCTTTTCGCGCGGGTCACTTTTTAAGGCTTGACTCAAACAGGAAACCGCGCATGGAAACCCTCTGGCACCCAGGGTACGGTACCAGGATTTTTTTTTTCAGAAATCGTTTAACGGAGCTTATACCACCTCCGTTAGTTGCCTCGATTATGGCAAAGCTAGAACAAATTGTATGAGAGCGTTTTGGAAACTTTGTATTTTGAAAAAAACTTTTAAGGGAATAAACATGCTGTCAACATAATTGGCTAGTATCTAAAGAAAATGATGTTCAAGTAGGCAAGTTGTCCTGGAGGCCTAAGTCGTTCTTGAACGCGGATTTAATTCTGAATGAATGTTCTCGGAATCACTTATGTGTGTAAACGCATGCGATTCCGAATACTCTTCATTGTTTAAGGTGGCTGGACACAGTTTTGGGGGCGGTCAGCGGTAAATCGCGTGACAGCGCGTGTTTTAAATAGGAGACAAACAAACACGGTGCCCGCGAAAAAGCAATGGTACACAGAAGACGATTTCACAAAATCTACTCATTAAAATTTTGTGATATTTGGCAGAATTTTTACTTTTATCGTATTTTAAACAATGAGAACTTCAAAATGGCAGTTGAACAGACTAATTTTGTGACACATTTGATAATTACAGTACAATTATATTATTGATTATCTGAAAACCCGTCTGTTAAAATTTGGTCAAATAAGTTTCAGATGGTAATGATTAATTATAGTAAGCTGTGTGCAAGTTTATAGGAAAATCTAATGAGCGAATTTTATGCAAACTGAGCAAAAGTGAAATTTTAAGGTTGTATTCAATCCGCTTCATGTTGCCATGGAAACTGTGAAAACGTCAAATTTTACCTGTCAATCAAAATTTTCAATCAGTATATTTTTCACTCTCCAAGTTTCAGCTTGTGAGCTGCAACCTTTCTTTTGCCAGGATTTGGCAAATGACGTACATTCACAAACTGCCAAAACTGTGTTCAGCCACCTTAAGGGGTACGCAATGCACGTGTCAATTTCTAATTATGCCGGGACAAGACACTGTGGGAGCGTATATTTGTGTGAAGTGGAGTTGGACGTGGATTGGTAAAGTAATCATGGCTGTAGTTTGTTAATCAGTGATACTGGTTTCTTGTAGAATTTAATATGAAGTAATAAAAAATATTTTTTTAGGTGGTAAAAGTGAGTTTAGTTGTTGCGGTGAGGTAGTTGTGGGAGTACTAATTTGGTTACGAAGGGATAGTTTGGCTACAGTAGGTTGAAATGAGAGATCTTATCAACACTTGAGAACGTACCTATACCTGGTTTTTTGAAAACTGGGCTACTAAAACATGTCAGTCTCGCACTGATTGGTAATTTAATGCCCCTTCTTACTGAAAAAGTAAAGTCTCGGCTCAAAAAGAAATTCTTGAATATACGAGTTCCCATTTGATAGAAACGTCTCTCTCGAAGGTAACAAAAGTGAAGCTCTCCCCATTAGTCTGGAAAATAAGGCATTTTAAGGAAGAATTTTAGTGTTAGCGTCACCGATTACAAAGCCATTTCCCCAATTCACCCCATTTTTCATTGCCACTGGTCCCCCAAAAACAATCCAAACCAACATTGATCAAGAAAAACAGGTCCTATAACCACCAATTTAACTGCTTGCTGACTTGGAACACTAGCAACAGAGTGGGTCATTGCTTGCATGCAAACAGCGAAAAAAAAAGGCATAACAGTGCATCAAACTTTAAAACAATCCCACCCCCTGGAATTTGACTAGGATACCCCAAATGCATATCAGATGATAGCCCTGTGTGTTTGTGATAGCCCCGTGTCTGTGCAACAACATGACACTTAGCTTGACGGAGGCCTTCCTCAAAAAAAATTACCTGGCTCAACAAGGGCAACAGACCAGCCTGTTGCCCATCTCGTGCATTTTTTCCGGTATTTCCACTGATTTCTGTCAATTCCAGGAAGTTATTTGGAGCCAATGGTTAAGAGCTGAGGGTGGTTAGTCCTGAAGAGGGACATTTTTATTTGTTACAATAGGAGCATCCCTCCCTTAAGCAAATTATGCTTTGAAAGATTGCCTGCAATGTGCTGGACCTGACTTAAGATTTCAGGTTTTCAAAACTCCAGGTAGAGTTTAAAAGATTTTAAAAGTTGTTAAGCTTTCTGTTTAGGATTGTTCTTCGGTTATTTTTGATAATATTTGTTTGGAGAGAACGTGGATAAGGTGAAAGTTCATTTGTTATAGAGAAGGGGGTATGAAGATGTTGGGGGGGGGGGACTGTGTGAGGGTGTGTTCGAGGGGCTTGGAAAAATCGGTGAGGTCAAGGGGCAAGGCGTAAACTCTGGCTATAGATCTAAGGGCCTGATTACATGAACCGCTTACTCGCTTTTCAGAAGTAGTATAGGAGGGATGTTTTACGCCTCTCTTTTGT